AAAGTCATTGGTCTATGCGGATAAGCCACAAACGCTTGACCATTTGGAAGACAACATTCGCCGAGTTATTGCCGATATAAGGCCGCAAATGTTGGAAAAAGTCATCGAAAGTTGGACGTCCAGCTTGGACTACATCCGAGCCAGCCGTGGCAGTCATATGCCAGAAATCATATTTAAAATCTAATGCCACAAGATTATCTTTCGAATAAAAAAAAATTCATGTCAATCGAATAATACATCGTTGTTTTATTGCAATTTAAAGTTCTATACCTCTAAAAAAACACCCTTTATAAAGATTATTTGTAAAGATATTAATTAAAAACGCTAAAAAGCATGATTCGCCTGCATTTTTGTAATAATGAAGACGCTATTTCGCCAGTTTGACTGAAAATCGATTTTCGACGCCATTTTACATCATTTTTATAACAATAACGTTGTTACAACAATGCAGTTGAATGTTTTTTTAATGTTTTTAATTAATATATTTTTAACTAATTACAATATCGTTTCGAATTGTGAATGTAAATCATTCTGGAATCCACTGGAACAGACACAAAAAATTTCATCAAAATCGGTCCAGTCGTTTAGGAGGAGTTTAGTCACACACACACACGCACAGAAGATTTTTACATATAAAGATATATATATATATATATATATATATATATATATATAATATATATACACTGGTGTGTGCAAAAATTAAGGACGAGACGGTTTTTTCAATATAACTTTGTACAAAAGCTTTCCAAATTAACACATTTAATACCGTAAGATCCCCAATACGTAAGGACATGTGTAATGTAAGCAACACTTACTAAAAGAGTAATCAGAGGGATAAAAAGAAGCTTGATTGAAAAAGTAGCATGGAGCGCAATGCGACTGAAGGCCGAAACATCCCTGTGATGGGTGTCCAGCAAGAAACATCCGGTCTTTAGTAGGGGATATGATCTCCCCTGACTGCTAGGCAGGTTTCACAGCGTCTGCCCATGCTGAGAATGAGGGTGTCAATGAGTTGTTGAGGCATTGCTGCCCATTCGTCTTGCAGCGCCAATCAAAGCTCCCGAATCGTTACTGGTGGTAAGGTACGAGCTGCCAAGCGTCTGCCTAGAAAATCCCATACATGCTCGATGGTATTGAGATCCGGAGATCGTGCCGGCCAATCCATACGTTCAATATCCTCACTCTCTAAGAGCTGTTCGGCAGCTACTGTGCGATGACATGGTGCATTGTAGTCCATGAAAAGGAACTGCAGACCCATAGCGCCTCTAAAAAGACGCACATATGGAAGAAGAATCTCGTTACAATAACGGGTCCCGTTGACTGAACCTGCGTCGAAGATGTGAAGGTCTGTACGACTACCAAGTATGATGCCTCCCCAAACCAGAACACCGCGATCTCCATACCTGTCCCTTTCAATGATGTTCGAGGGATGATTGCGGCTTCCCCGCTCTCTCCAGATGAGTATGCGATGAGAATCGCTACTCAAACTGAATCTGCTCTCATCTGTAAAGAGTACTCGTCCCCATTCATTGTCTCTCCAATTCCGGTGTTCCCGGCACGACAGAGAACGCCTTCTCCGATGGGCAGGCGTTAAAGGTACACACCGTACAGGGCGTCGTGCAAACAGACCACCACCGTGCAGTCTTCTGGCCAAGGTAAAACGCGATATCGGTCGTCCAGTCGCCTGTGTCGTGTGTCTAGCGATTTCTCCTGCTGTCTGCCGCCTGTTTCTTCTGGCCTGTAAGACAATGTACCGGTCATCTGCGGGTGTGGTTCCTCGTGGACGACCACTACTGAACCCCCGGATAGCTGTTCCTGTAGTTTGGAATTGTCTCCAAAGTCGTGAAACGATGCTCTGAGCAATTCCGAACTCTGCAGCCACACTTGTCACACTGCGGCCTTCCTCCAACTTCCCAATGATTCGACCTCGGGTAAAAGCATCCAGATGTCGTCTAACAGATTGATTATTCGCCATTTCTCGCTGAGGCAGCAACTCGGTGTGATTTTAACTGCTATACGGCGTGCAATCTCTTTGCCAGAAATACTGATCTTACACCGACAACATGCTTTATACTACTCAGACACTCCCCCATTACGTCTACCTGCATATCTGCGCATGTGCTACCGTACATCACCTTACTTAATCTTCTGATTGGTCTTTCTTTCCGCTCTGCCTCTTCGTTCAGCTGACATGCTAATTTTTCGACTTCGTCCTTAATTTTTGCACACCAGTGTATATAGCCATGCAGTTATAATATTTATCAACACTTTTATGTTTAATATTTTTCCCTTATGTAATATCAATTTTGGTATTATAACTAAGATTTTTATTTTTATATATATATAGTTAATTATACCCAAGAGAGATTTAAAATTATTTTTATGAAAAAGCGAATTCTTATTCCACAAAATGCTAGCATGCAATTGTTTTTCTTTTATTCAAAAATTTTACTTACACAAGTAATTACAATTAACTTCATTAAATTTGCTTTACTTTTTTCTCTCCCCTTTATCAAAGTAAATAACTAATGTATACGAATTAATAATAAATTTTCACTTAGAAATGCTATTCGAATTTATACTGAAAATCGAATGCTCCATTTTACACAAATATTACTAGTCAAATATTGAGTCATTGTAACACGTTTAATTACTAATGTGTACCTTTCTTCAATATAAATCCCATTTTACAAAATGAAATATTTTGATGCTTGGATAAATCTTATTTTTTTTTCAATTCCTACTATGATATATAGCTCACTCTCTCTATATATTTATTTATTTATCTTGGTGGAATTTTCAATCGTTAATAAAATATATTTTAAAGCAATCAATTGAGCTGAAACTTTATATACATGATTATTTTGGATGACAGTACAATAATTTAATTATAATCGATAAAAATTAATTGATTAAAACTAATTATTCAAAAAATTACGAATACAGCCACGTTGGCATCATTTTTGGCGACTTAGCGACCATTTTAGCGACTTAAGTCAGAACTTGAAAAGGTTTTTTTCTCACATTTCAAAGTGCTCATTTGAGTTGAAATTTTCTATACACAATTGTTTTGGGTAAAAATAAGATAATTGAATATTATAATTAATTAAAATACTCTACATATATATATATATATATATATATATATATATATATATATATATATATATATATATCTTATTCACAAATTTTCAATCTTTAATAAAATACTTTCTATTCATCCATTCAAAGTAGGAATTGACTTAAATTTTTTTTATATATATTGCTTGTTTATCTAACAATTCCACTTTTCAAACCTTTTCATGACAGAAAACCGCTTATACTTCTGAATAAATCTTATAATTTTGTGACGACTAATATAAAGAGTGAGAGAAAAGGCTCTTTTACAAGATGAATTTTCCCTTCATACAACTCTCTGAATATCCAAAATGCCTTTTCCCTTGGTTTTATTTAATAATGCGAACAATACAATATACTAGAGATATTAATATATGCAGATTTATTTCATGATTCATTTAATTTTCTACATCGGAATCTGCATCAATGATATTTCTTGAGCTTTGAACAAATTCCAAAATGTCTGTCTGCATAATTGGGGCTGTATACACGTTATCATCATCATCATCTATTGCAACGAATTCTTTCGAGGATACAGCAGGACAGTCTAACAATACAGAAAACTTTCTTACTTCGGCCGATTTTTTCATATTTTGTTCATTTCCAGAAGTGAAACCTTTTCCTTTTAAACGATTTTCGTTTTGTGTTAAAGAGAAAAAAGTGCGTGAAAATACATTGTAGATTATCGGGACCATTGTATTATTTCGTGTCAACTGATATTTCGTCATAAGTATTTTCGCGTTAAACGTACTTCCCTGTATGATCTCATTACCAGAACAAAATAAGGAATTTGACGCATTTATTTCGAATAAAACTTTAAAGGTAAAAGAAATCTTTATTTGAAGTGGAATTTATTCAGAAAAAAATTGCAATAAATATTCTTAAAAATTATGTGATTTGTGATGGGGCTTTCTCGGTATTTCTACTGATTCTCCTTTTGGGATTTCTTTGGGGCCAGAATGGCAAGTCTTTCCAACCAACCCAAGAAGAAAGCGTGTTTATGCAAATTAGGAATCATATATATTGTAATGTTAGCATTCGCGAGGGTCGCTAAATGAAGCTCTGAGTGCTAAGTGGAGAAGTAATGCTAGAAGTAAAGTGAGATAAAGTCTAGGAAAAGAGTCTTAATTTTGTCTGTCTAACAGTGTTACTGAAGATAAGCGAAAGTGGGTCCGAGACCAAAGGAGTATTGTCTTAGCCCATGCAAGGCAGATGGAAAGATAAATTGGTGTTGTACGGACCGTAGCTGTTTGCCCAGGAAATAGCGGTAAGCCTGTTCATTTAAACTTTAAGGATAGAGCGGAGGATACTCTATTAAAATAATAATTAATCAATAAAGATAGATTTAGTGGTTAATTGCGTTGTTTATCAGTAATACGTTTTGCCTCGTTTCACTCTTGATCCTAGACTCCCCTCCTAGACTAGTATTGTTGTTGTATTGTATATAAATTAAGATCATAATAAACTATTTTTATTATGGCAGAATTTAGTGATTCCTCTTTCGTTCCCTCACGCATAGGTCGCGTGGATAGTGGAGAGAGGGTCTCCCCATCGTTGGGGATATCACAGACTTTTTAATTGATTATCAGTAAGACCAGTACCTGATTTTTTTTAGTATGCAAAAAAGGAATGTCACTTTTAAAATTTTCTGGCCTTTAAACAAGGTGCATATTAGTACATTAGATATGTGTTGTCGTGTGTTTCATCCTGGGATACATACGAAAGACAGATTAAAAGAAACATACAATACAATCACAGAAGAATATAGAGATTTTATTACAAACGATGATCCCAGCATAGAACAGAAGGGATAGGCTGCTTTGCATTATAGACGGGAATCCATTTCAGGGGAAAGTTCAACTTCTTTTCCCGAAGATACATCCCTTTTCCGGGATTCGAACCCGAGTCCACTCGATTATAAGTCGAGTGTCAAATCCACCATACTGGCTGGATGGCACGTTAGAAGGGTGAAGGAATCATTTGGAGACTAATGCATTGAACTACAGTGAAAAATCATTTTGAAAAGTGACAGGTTTCTTTCGGCAAAAAAATTCTAAACAACAAAAAAATTAGCCAGCTTTCGTTTCCCCCCTCCCAAATGACATGTAAAAATAATAATAATAGGAAAAAAAGCGCGACGATAAGTTCTTCCTCGACCCCCTCCACACACAAAAAGTTGAGAATTTGGGAAAAAAATTTATTATTCTACAAAAGAATTGAATAATTTATCTCACCTGTATCGATAGGAGTACACCGTTGTGAACCGTCGAAATGAAACCTTGGATGAAGAGTAACAAATAGTAATGTGATTTCGGCAGTCCAGGTCTCCCGGTCAGCAGATTCGTTTCAGACGAGCTCGGCTTTTCAATACTCGAAGAGAAATCTGCAGAATCACAACTGCTCTGGAAGTTTTCAGCCATGGCCGGATTTGTCGGCTTGGAAACAGGAATCAAAGACACCTGACAAGGCAAGAATTTTTTTTAAAAACATTCATTCATAACTTAATTAAACGATAATTTAACACAATACAAATATTCAGTTTATTAGTAGTAGGGGAAGTTGATTTGGGAAAACTCATGTCACCTTAAAGTTGTGTGTGCTGTTTACCTTACCTTGAGCCTAATTTGAAATACCTGTCTGCAGGCATTTGCTTTTTTACGCCTCTGATAACTGGCTTAAAAATTAATTTCACATCGGACCACTTGCTAAGAGTTTTTATTCCTATCATTTCTATATACTAGCTTCACCTCACGGAAATAGAGGTCACATACAACTTCCTTGGGAGGAAACTTATTTTGTTGAGGGACTTTCTGAGAGATATTTAGAGAAGGTTGTCTTCCAGTCATTTCTGTAATAAATATTGCACATCTATTGTTATATTGGATGACGTTCATGACATATTTGTTGACACCATTAGCAGGCTCTAGTTGAGATAGAACGTATGTTTGATGTATACGTTGTAGCCGTTGAGATCACTAATCGTGATTTATGAGTGAGTGTTCCAGTCAGACCCTTCACAAGGAATAAATTCAACAAGGAGTTGCTTACTTGTGTTGCAATTTAGAATTCGAAATATGCATCAAGTATGCGTAAGAGTAAGTTGTTCACCATGTCTTGGGTACAGGATTTAAATTACCTATCCGCTAGTGCAAACAGGGTGGGGCGTAGGAACTTCCTGTTTTGAAAACGCAATAAAACACACTTCATGTTTAATTCACCTTTGCTGTTATTTTTCGCCCACCGCACAACACTGGAACTTTGAGTTTACACAGTTTTAAACACAATGTCTGTTAAATGATGCCCTCCATTGTCGATACACACCGATGCAGTCGATGTCGAAAACTTTGAGTCAATTTCCAAGCATATCGACCGTGATATTGTCAATTTCGACTCGGATGTTGTTCCGTAGGCCTTCCAGCGTCTTGGAGTGATCTTTGTAAACCAGGGACTTGAGATAACTCCGCAGGAAGTAATCAGGAATGGATAAATCAAGTGAAAACGCTGGCCAGTTTACGTTCCCTCGCAGGGTAATAAAGCAAAACATTTCCTTTTTGTTTTGTCTAGGCTGGCACCAGCACGCTCGTTTCTAATTTATTGCTTTAATCACTGTAATCATTATTTTTTTATTTCAGAAAAAACTAGATTTTAAAAGGAGAGATTGTGTCAAAGTCTCTTTTCATTTGAATAGCTGCTATTGATTTTTTTTAATCGTTTGGGGAAGGCTGCTCTCAAAACACCCATGGAAACCTTGGTGTTGTGGGCTGTGGTCCAATCTTGTTGTAACCACACGTTGTCAATATCCCTTTCATGGAGAGCGTGTAAGAAGAATTGTTGGATTGTCATATACTGGTCAGAATTGACATATGAACTCGTTCCACATTTTCAGGTGTTCAAACGGTTTTCGGAGGTCCTTTGGAGAGATTCCCCGTTGTTCGGAAAGTATCCATCTACTTTAAAACACATTTCCTATCAGGAATACGACATCATGGAGGAATATCGAAGTGATGACGAAAGGTACCTTGCACTGCAATCACCGACCGACCGTTAGAGAATTACGCCTCCAAGGCAAAAGCGTGTTGCTCCCTCGACTACAGCATATTTCCGACTTAGACGGGCGAAAACACAAATATCTTACTCAACTTAATCCCCCGAATTCTCTCCCCACGAACGTCATTACAACATGTTCAAAACAGGAAGTTCCCGCACCCACCCTGTACAATACCCCCTCCTCCAAAATAATTTACAGTTCAGTAATAGATGGAATTAATACTCATTTTTTAGAGAAAAATCTGGTCTTAATTCATTAAAAAAGCATTAGGGTTTTGTCAAGAAATTTTATTATTTTTACGTACAACAATCTATTCATCTTTATCTACGAAAATCTGTTATACGAGCTTATTTTAATCATTTGTTAACAATTATACTTTTTTTATTATTAATAAATTATATTATTTTTTATTATTAATAAATTATGCTATTTATTATTATTAATAAATTATACTATTTTTATTATTAATAAATTATACTATTTTTTATTATTAATAAATTATACTATTTTTATTCTGTTTATGGATTTAATAATTTTTTAACTTAATTAGTTATATTATTTACTAACTCAATAATTCTATCTAGTGTTCATATATGTGAACTAGGTTTTTATGGAATAAGACTTTTATCTTTTTTTTAAATGTAGTATAATAGCAAGCAAGAAGAATTCCGACATTGTGTCGGTATATGAAGATATTTTTAATACCATGCTTTTCTAAAAAATAAACGCTAATAATATGCTTTTAAAGATGCTTAGTTTATAAATCCTGTTTTTCGAATATGCTTTGTTAAGAACCAAGCGGGTACCAGACATTTTGCCCAGTGTCTAATCAATGCTCATACATAACATTAGAGTACATTTAATGATTAACAAATATTATCAGCCTACTTGAGCATCCGCAGATTTACTGCCGAGTGACCAATCAAAGTACAGACGCAACAAATGATATATTTCAGAACTAATAGAAAGTAGCTATAACAGCCATTAGTCGGTATTCGATCTGTCGCGTAATGCAAACGAATAATACAGAAGTTAAAAGGGAGTGATATTTTGATTCTCACATAAATATGAGGGCAAAAGGAAAGAGCTATAATGTCGAGAACTAGTAAGAAAATTGTCGAAGATTCCTGGAGTAAGAATCTTAACTTTCTTTAAAGAGAAGAAAAGTTAGATCTTCAAAAGGTCCAAAAATTGCAATCAGTATGAAAACCTCAAGGCCTTGTGTCACGTATGCGCATTTGGAGCAATTTTTCTTTCAAGCAACCCTTTGCAACAGCTTCAGACAACTTTTCCTGGTGAGCTGAAAGAACTGCTCGAAATTAAAATTGCTCACAGTTCAAGCCAATGGGGTTCTTCGGCTATCTACGTCATAAGCAAAATGACGGTAAAGAAAACAACCTTGGTTTCATCAAATGCATCAGAAATGGCTTGTAATATTTCAATGGCATATAATATTCTGATCAGAAAGCGCTCCATTTCTTTTAACGACCGCCAACAAAAGCGCGAGTGGAATAAAAGAAATAATATTGGTTGTTCGTTTTCTGCAGCAGAAAATTTAGCGAGTAATTTTTCAATGTGAAAATAGGTGCGGCTGACGTCAGAGCGAATCGTTTTTTTTTTACGGCAACCCTTTATCCTCGCAACTGTTTGAAACGGTTGCTCTAAAGAGACTCGAGTTGTGTTCCGGAACATGCATGTGTGATAAGGCCTTTAGTTGGCAGGTAGACGAGGTGAATACTAAGAAGCATTAGAGTAGATCAGATCCCTGGAACCATTATTTTCTAAAATAGAACATATCATTGGTGAATGAATTGCTGATAGTTGAGGGAAGTGATGGTTTGTGACGAATCTTTACGGCACTTTTCCACTAATACTCTTAGGCGTCTTTGGGGATTGTAAATTCGCGTATATTTCCAACTGGAAGAAGAAAATGGGATATTCAAATAAATTAAGGTATTTAAGGAGAGCGTTGTAGGTTAGCATTTAGAAGGCGATTGAACCAAGAGCAGAAGTGACAAAGTTAAGAAGATTCAAGTGGATTGCGTGATTAGAGTATTGCTGTTATTATTCAAAGAAGTAGCCTTAGAAAGGTTGATCTACTTGGAGAGAACGACATTACAGCCAGGTGATATATTATAACTTAGTCTATTTGACCACAAGAGTTAATATATAATAAAGTTAGTTAAATTTTAATGAATGTTAATAATTTAAGTTGCGTGTATTTCTCCTTGTTTGCGTGTACCCGTTCGATATTGAGCTTAGTACTTGATTAATTTCATATTTTGTAATTTAATTTAATAGTAAAGGTAAATCCCTTTGACGTAGACATAGTGTTTATTATTTGTAATAAGAAGGTTTCTAATTGAATCTATTGAACAAATATAATTTGTTATTATACAAATAGCGTCTGGTCATTCTTTGCCTCAAGTTAATCTTAGTGTCCAGGGTGGAACCCAGGGGGGTTCTCACAGGTTGGCAGAGCCGATATTTAAGCATTAACCCAAGCAATAGCATTACAGACTTATCGAAGAATTCAAAACATCATAACACTGGATAGAGGATTTTATCTAGCGATGTGAATTGTGAGGAGATTTATGATAATGTTTCAGAAAACTACATCCCGCTTTTACTTGAATCTAAGCCTCATTATTTTTCCAGTGCTCATGCTGCTGAAAATCGGAGGGGGCCTTAGAATCGGAGGCAAAATATTTGTTGGATGAGGGAAAATGAATTTCTACCACTTTCAAAAGGAAAAATGTAACCATCCATTCTGGATACTTGCATCAATGATTTATTCAGCATTTCGCAGTTTATCATCCAGTTTTCAACCTATCCTAAATACCACAGGTATTGGTAACAGCCTCAAGATGCGTTCACTATAACGCAAGTATGAAAAGGG